CTGAAGATTAATTTATGAAGATTAATTTATGAGAGGTCAAATAAAACCTACATACAAAGATAAAAAGCAAAAACACCATACAGTATAAACATTGAACACACACGAATGTTTTGTGGTCAGTAACACGTGGACAAAAACTTAAAAATAAAAATTTAGATTTTGAGCCATATGAACAATCCAAGAATACTCAACTCAGCAGTAATGTGATCCACAAAATTTTTGTCCACACATATATAAATTTAAATGTGACAGTATTGAAAATGCATAGCGTAAGCTAATACGCAAACACAACACGCCCGCATATATACACGTGTGTATAGGCACATCACAAAACACATGCGTGTACACAATTCTCACAACTCTAAACATGCCTTACTCGAACCTGGATATAATTTTCAGTGTACAATATGAACGCCCTACTGTACATACACTTGATGGTTTCTTGAAAAAAGTTCCCAGTTAAACATTCGACACAAAATTAAAATCCTGAGAACTCATGCCGGTACTGTCGAGGGATTGTTTCGATCGGTGAAAACCGGATTTCTGTCGGTTATTCGGAGCATACCCATCACTACCGTTACTGTAGAAATTGTTGTTGTTACGATTCGCCCCACTTAGCGAATCGTTACTTCGATATTTCAAATCCTTCTCCGAAGAGTTGTGTCTCGGGATGGAGTGCACCGACAGATCCACCGACCTTCCGTCGTTCTCATCAACATTGTCCTTACATTTCAACAGTAACACGAAAAATCTATAAACGTCTAGTAAAATGATCAGGGCGTTTTTAACCGTGAAAAAGAGCAAGTTGTAGCTTAGAATTCGGAGGCCGATGAGACAGTGGAGACGGAGTATGAGATAGGGGCCATCGTGCATCAGAACTGTTGACGATATTGTCCAAATTTCAGACATGCAACATCTGTTGAGGGTCCTGGTTATCGGGTGGTCGTTGGCTGAGTTTGGGTCCAGTTTCGGTTTCCTACGCTTCAGGGCCGTTTTGACGAGTGTGAATTGAAATAAACTAACCGTCCATATTACCAGAATTACGTATTTCATTTCTGGTCTGTTGAGAATAAAGAAGAGATGATTAAATTTTGTGGTAATTTTTGTAAAAGTGAATAAATTAACGTGTAATTTATTAATAAATCTAAAATTGATCAAGAATATTTTGTAATAAACCAAATTTAAACGTAAATTTAGTACTGAAATGTGAACTAAAACATGTGAAAATAAAAACTAAAGCAAAGTTGTTGAACCTAGTCAAACGATGAGAAACAAACTTCTACAAAATAATGCCCAAAAATCAGTAATAAGTTTCAAAACGCACTTATCCAAAACTGCCTGCTCCTCAAACAGGATAAACAGATCCAACATGTCGAAACTGAGACCGAAGTAGATGAAGAGTAGCTGGGAATGTTGGTCCAGACTTACTGAACCTCTCGGCAGCAACCATCTTCCGATTATCAACATCAGCAGCATTATCTCCTCCAACGTATACACCATGGGCTTCCTGTCAAAGATGTCTTTCACGGAAACCAGCGACTGTTTGTGGAAGAAAAGTTTTGTCATTTTTTAATAAAACTCTGACAAATGACTGTTTGGAGTAAAATTTTTTATAGAAACTTGTAAAAAAAAGTACATTTCTTATGAATCTGTAACTTGTTCCAATTAAGATTTAAGTTTCAAAGACAAAAATAACGTTAATCTAAAATAAGTTTCCAGTAAAAAATTTTTAAAATATTAAATAATACATCTGAATAAAGTAAATTTAAAAAAAAATAATGATGAAATTAATTTCTAACGCAGACGTAAGAATGTTCTCGAAGGCCGTTACAAAGGGTTCTGTTGGAGTTCTCAGTGGCGAGGCACTCGATCATGTCAAGGTTCAACATCCAAATAGTGGGCACCACCGCCAGGAGGAAGATGAAGATGCAGAAACTGAACCTGCAAAAAAATCATTTCCGGATAATTGAAGTTTCTTCAAATTTCTTTGAAGTTTGACGTTAGCATTTCTACATTTTTATGACAGGTTTAAAAATTATTCAGAAAAAAAGATATATTTATTTGTTTCAGGAATAAAAATGCAAAAAACCTAAACCTATAAAAATTTTATTTTAAGTAGTTCTATTTTAAAGTTTGATGTAAAACTCAAAATTTAATTGTTAATGACTTCGAGAATTTACTAGTAAAATCAACCATTAGACATTGGTTTGCCAAGTAAGAAACATAATAACTTCTTAAAAACTAACCAATTTTATCAATAAAATAAACTCAAAATAGAAAAATAAATTCCCAACCGAAACAAACAAACCATTTCGGCTCTCTACCGCGCCTTTTAACAGCGTTATAAATGCCTTCAGCTAGCAGGACACCAGCGAAAATGGCCAGTACCCAAACTTCATTCTTGCCAACCACACACGACGCAGCCCAAATACTGAACAACATGTGGACAAGAAGACAAATTCTGACCACAGCCGCCCTGATTATGTCGAAGCTTGCTACCGCTTTCTGCTTCGAATCCATTATTTTTGGGAAAATAATTATGATAATCGGTGAGGGGGTTTAATTAATTAAGTATTAGTTTGTTGCTACTTGTTAGTTTTTATTAATTTTAATTGATTGTGCAATGTTTTTTTAATATTTATTTGTCAGTTAATCTATTTATTTTTATGTTTCGTTGGTGGTTGGATTATTTTTTGAAGATTGTTGGCAGGACATCTAGGAGAAAGGATGTATAAATAAATCTAGAAATTGTCGTCTCAAAGTCGTTCTGTGTGTTTTTCAGAATGGGGTTTAAAGTAAAATTCCTGAGATCTAGCAAGCGCAAATCCGATTTTAAGTTAAATTTTGTCAAAAAACAAACACGTTAGTTACTAAATTAAAATCAGCAGAGTTCATATATTAACATATTTACATATCGATCAGTTCAAATTGAGATTAAACTTTATAATATCTTACCAATTTTCAATTATATTTGCTATTAAAGGTACAAAATCGAAATTCATATTAAAGCTTTCGTAACAAATCAACAGAGACTTACGAAACAGTAATATCATTGTTCCTAAATAACGATATAATCCATGTCTAATGTTTTTTCAAAATGTAAATACATACATGTACCAAGTGTGTCTCCCAGCACAGCTAAAACGCATGCACAAACAATATAAAAACCATTGTTTACCTGAGTAAAACTCATTCTTCTGAATAATTATGTACTTACATTAATCACGTATAGGTGAAATTAGCTATATGCATGCGTGTGCGTGTGTGTATACGTGTGTGTGCGTGTTAAAGTAAAAATGTTTTATTTAAACTCGGTTTTGAGAGACATGAATCTAAAAATTTTGTAAAATTGATGTAAAACTATTTACTGGTTGTTGCAGTTATCTAGTTTGGATGGAAAGAGATCTCAGCCTATCGGATACTACATAGACCTGAACGCGTTAACGCATATTTGCACGGATCGCATGAATGTGTGTGTGTGCGTGAGTGAGTGTTATTGATACCTCTGAGGATTTAATCATGAGAGAATTAATGAATAACCCCTGCACGTCACATATATGCAACTTACACACGTAATTTAAATGTTTTCCTATCGGCACATTTGAAAAACTTTAGAAATTAAATTGAACGCACAGACAATATGCTTGTAAGAAATTTTTTAACGAGAGTTTTACACCATTCATCACGTTGTATAGATTTATATGAGACAATGTTTAATGTTTATAACATAAGCAAATATGCAAACATAACGCGCTCGCACGTACTCATGTACCTATACATCACAAAGTACCTACGTGCACCCAAAGATTTAAAAAAAAATAAAATCCTGAGCACTTAATCCAGAGATTTTGTCCTTTATTCGGAACCCATCCATCACTCCCGTTACTGTAGTAAGTGTTATTACGATTCGTACCACCTAAATCTGACTCAGAAGTTGGAGTGCACCGATAGATCCACCGAACTACCATCATTCTCATCAGCCTTATTTTTAGATTTGAACAGTAAGACGGAAATCCTATAACACTCAAGTAGAATGATCAGAGCGTTTTTAACCGTGAAAAAGAGCAAGTTGTAGCTTAAAATTTGGAGGCCGATGATGCAGTAGAGACGGAGTATGAGATAGGGGCCATCGTGCATCAGAACTGTCGACGATACTGTCCAAATTTCAGACATGTAACATCTGTTGAGAGCCCTTGTTATCGGGTGGTCGTTGTCTGAGTTTGGGTCCAGAAGTGTCTTGACGAGTGTGAATTGGAACAAACTAAACGTCCATAAGACCAAGATTACATATTTCATTTTTGGCCTGTTAAGATTGTAGGAAAAATGAATTCAGTAATTTTTTCGTAAAAGTGTATGAATGAAAGAATGCGTAATTTATTTAAATGGAAGAATTTACGACGTAATTGAGAGTTAAAACATAAAAAAATAAAAACCAGCACAAACCCATTATAAATTTTGTTAAACCAATATTAACATTTTCGTATTAATCAGGATTTAATTTTGGATGAAAAAATGCAAAACCAAACTATTTGTAAGGAACAACAACAGAATAATGCGTAACCATCAGTAAAAAAATTTCAAAACTCACTTATTCAAAACTGCCTGCTCCTCAAACAGGATAAACAGATCCAACATGTCGAAACTGAGACCAAAGTGGAAAAAAAGCAGCTGGGAATGTTGGTCCAGACTTACTGAACTTCTCGGCAGCAACCATCTTCCGATTATCAACATCAGCAACATTATCTCCTCTAACGTATACACCATGGGCTTCCTGTCAAAGATGCCCTTCACGGAAACCATTGACTGTTTGTGGAAGAAAAATTTTGTGTCATTTTTTTAAATTAAAAACTCTGACAAACGAAAATAGAATTTAAAAATAGAAACTTGTAAAAAGTACATTTTTGTGCATCCATTACATGCTATAACAATAATTATTCAAATTTTAAAAACAAAAATAATCCTAAATTAAAATAATTTTTCGGTAAAAAATTGAAAAAAAAACTAAAATAAAACATCCGAATAGAGCAAATTTAAGAGAAAAGTTTTAAAATTGATCATTTCCTGACGCAAATGTAAGAATGTTCTCGAAGGCCGTTACAAGAGGTTTTGTTAGAGTTCTGAGTGACGAGGCACTCGACCATGTCAAGGTTCAACATCCAAATCGCCGGCACCACCGCGAGAAGGAAGATGAAGATGCAGAAACTGAACCTGCAACAAAATTATTTTCGGATAACATTTCTTTGAAGTTTGAAGTTTATGTTTTTACATTTTTAGGACACATTTAAAAATTATTCAGAGAAAAGGATGCATTTATTTGGATGGAAAGCAAAACATAGACCACACAAATTTTATTTTGAGTAATTTTACGTTAAAGTATGATGGAAAAATCAAACTTTATTAGTGAATAAAAGTAAGAATTTACTATTAATATCAATATATAATGATTTTTCAGAGAAACTCAAAATAGAAAAATAAATTCCCAACCGAAACAAACAAACCATTTCGGCTCTCTACCGCGCCTTTTAACAGCGTTATAAATGCCTTCAGCTAGCAGGACACCAGCGAAAATGGCCAGTACCCAAACTTCATTCTTGCCAACCACACACGACGCAGCCCAAATACTGAACAACATGTGGACAAGAAGACAGATTCTCACCATAGCCGCTCTGGTTATGTCGAAGCCTGCTACCGCTTTCTGCTTCGAATCCATGATTTTTGGGCAATAATTATTACATTAATTAGTGAGGGTTTAAATTTCAGTTAATCTATTTTATTTTTATATTTTGTTGATGGTTGGGTTATTTTTTGAAGATTGTTGGCAGGACATCTAGGAGAAAAGATGTATAAATCTATATATTGGCGTCTCAGGATCGTTATGTGTGTTTTTCAGAATGGGGTTTAAAATAAAATTCCTGAGATCTAGTAAGCGCAAATCCAATTTTAAGTTAATTTTTCTCAAAAAACAAACACGTTAGTTACCAAATTAAAATCAGCAGAGTTCATATATTAACATATTTACATATCGATCAGTTCAAATTGAGATTAAACTTTATAATATCTTACCAATTTTCAATTATATTTGCTATTAAAGTTACAAAATCGAAATTCATATTAAAGCTTTCGTAACAAATCAACAGAGACTTACGAAACAGTAATATCATTGTTCCTAAATAACAATATAATTCATGTCTAATGTTTTTTTTTCAAAATATAAATACATACAAATACCCCTACTGTGTCCTCGCACAGCTAAAGCAAAAACGATTCAAAAAAACCATTGTTTACCTAAGTAAAACTCATTCTTCTGAATAATAATTTATTTACATAAATACGGCATTAGTAATAATATTAGGTATTTGCATGTGTGTGTGTGTGTGTGTTTGTTTGTTTGTTTGTTTGTGTGTGTGTGCGTGTAAATATAAATTTGTTATTAAACACACACAAATATGTAAATCAATAGACAGCAATGCATGATTTTAAGAGAATGTAATGTATTGCATTGTGTGGGGATTAGATACGCTCATGTTAAACATCTCATGTAATGCGTTAATATGTGTTTGTATGTTTGTATATTTGTGTTTGTGTTCGTTGTTTGTTTGATTTTTAAAAAACTCCTCTGAAATAGGAACAAAATTAATTTGCATGTTTTTAGAAACAGTCAACTACGTACACCGATGTAGAGATACAACGGTGATGAGTTGCAAGCTGTCCCATACAGGTGGTGAGCAACATGAGAAGCCTTCATTGGCGAGAGCTTATTTATTGACTGGTTGATGCAGTTGCAATGAGAAAGGCAGATGAAGGTGATGGCGATGATTAGCAGATGAGCGATGGCGAATGATTTTGATAGGATATGGTGGTTGAGCGTTTTATATGTGATGACAGGAGTTTTATATTTGATACGTTGATGAATCGGCGGTCAGTAATGGTGGCCAAGAAATGATGAAGATGAACGAGGCCATTCTAGAACGAGTTTGCCTAGTCGGTTTTGAATTGGCTGAAGAGAGGAATTGGTAGGCTGGAGTTCCAAATAACAGAGAGTTACTGGGGTCAAGGCGAGAAAATACAAGGCAGCGTGCTAGCGTGGAGTCTATTTCAACTGTTAGGAAGGATCGATTGCGGCAAACAGACCAAATAGTGTAGTTGCACATCCTGATGAGGGTAGAAGCTAGCGTGGAGTCTATTTCAACTGTTAGGAAGGATCGATTGCGGCAAACAGACCATATAGTGTAGTTGCACATCCTGATGAGGGTAGAAGTTTGAGTTTTGAAGGTTGAGACGAGTCGAGAGAAACACTGGAATATGTGGGTGTAGTGTAGATAATCATGTTTCTTCATCTGTCAACTTTTTTGTCTACGAGTTTACTCTGAGATGATTGTAGCGCCTCTCTCTCTCTCTCTCACTCTTTCTCTCTCTCTTTCTTCTCTTTCTCTTTTCCTCTAACATTTTTTAAGATGCACCTACACTTACCTTGTTGTTACTATTAACTATTCATATTTACACGTTGTATACATACATATAAATACATATTCAATATATATTTTGAATGTAATATTATACGAGTCGCCGAAAATAATTTTGCAAAAAACGAACAATGATAAAAATATTTTCCATTATTTTGGTGGCATATGCCGTTCTAAGGAACATTTCTTCTAAACAAGCAAGAGATAACAAAAGGACGAGTTGATAGATGTGTTCATCAGTCATTGTGGAAAAAAATGTATGAATTCAAACAGTGGAAAAAATTTTGTCTTTTCAAGGTGGAATGTGTGTGTTTGTGTGTGTGTGTTTGTGAACGTGTGTATACGTAGATCTGTTAGTGCGAAAATAATATTCAAATACATTTGGCTTTGTTACATTCAAGTCTGCACGAATATATAGATAAAAAAATCCATACTGAACTTATTAAACGTCAAACCATAATACGAGTATATGTGTGTACAAATGTGTGTGTGTGTGAGTGTGTGTGTGTATTGAATGTGTATGTGAACGTGTGTGTGCGTGTTTATAATTATGTATTCATTTTAGCAGCTATTATACATATGAATGTATATGTTTGTTCATGCATTATTTAATAGACATTCTAAACAATTCCGATAGTTTTCTTTATGTTCCGAAAATTTTGCCCATTTAAAATTTGTTCATTTCCTGTTGACTGTGACCTATTCTCACTTTTGAAAGTAATTTTCTTCCATCAGTTAGTCTGATCAACATGCTGTTAGCAAGCGTTGATAAATACAGTAGATCGTTATTAAATGCCATCAATGACATCAATATGTCATTCATAAAACATTACATGTTGGTTATTTTGCATTGTTGGCTGTTAAGCGTTTCTGCTTCTCAGAATATTTATCTGACAACTTGGCAATTTGGATTGTTTAATGAGAAATTTTTTGTCTGTTCGGAAGATTTTCAGACCAAAAGTACAGTTGCAGTTAATAGTACATTGGAGTGTGCCCTTCTGTGTGCTACTACTCAGTTCTCAAAATGTTTATCCTTCAATTTTCTAGCAAGTCAAAACCAATGTCAGATTTTCCCATATTTATCGAAGCATTTCAACGCGAGGAGTGTTACTGATAAGTCGTGTTTGTACTATTACCAAGTTAGTCATCATAAGACGTTGTTATTATACTGGTTGTAATATTTATGCCTTCAGAGTGAACTGTTAATGTTGAAATTTTTCTTCTCCTTGAAACAACAGGGCAATCAGAGTTTACTTGCAAGTTAGTATTTACAAAATATTCGTATAGAAATTTTTAACATTCTCCAATTTAAATTTAGAAATAAATTTAAAATACGTTTTTTCATCTACTCTGCGATCACTGTTCAACTTTGAAAAAAAATTTCAATTCAGATGTTTCTGTGAACTCGGCCCTCCAAAAGCCAACTTATTCAAGTCCATTATACCTTCCAGGACCCACATTTTCTAATTATTCAGTAGACGGCATAAGATCAGGTTTCTTTCCATCTGTTGGATGTTTCCATTCGGCCCAATCCCCACCGAGCTGGTTGGCTGTTGATCTGCTGGAGACATTCGTCGTATATTACGTCATGCTGGTTAATAGGGACGCCGTTGGTGAGTGTTACTTTACTGGGATTTCATTTGGTTTTTATCATTTTCAAAATTTGTGTCCAACGATATGTCAAGTATTAGTTGGTGACAAGTTTTCAAAACCTAAAAATGCTTGGCATGTTTTTTAACTTTATGAAACTTGATGTTCTGCTGGCGGTATGTTGCATTCCAAACGAATTTCGTAAAAAGACATTAAAAGTTGTTTCGCCGTTTAGGAGAAAGACTATCCAGATACATAGTTGGACTGAACAGGAGCCTGAGATCCGTCGTGAAGAGATGGGACTACGACCTCTGCGGACAATATCCCAAAGTAACAGTATCCGCTTCCTGGTACATAACTCTATGCAACAGTTACTCGTACGCACATAGGTATGTTATTGTACAGTCTGCTAATGACACAGACCAATATTTGACTGTCTGTGAGTTGGAAGTTTATGGTCAGTAATTGGAAACGTGTTTTTTTTATACAGTTCATCGATGCTAAAACACTCGTATGCGTTGAAAAATTGAATAACTCTTTACATTTCTAAGCAACATTACAAAAAACAATTATTCAATGAACAACATTACAATTAGTTTGGATCAGTTTTTACTATTTTTTTCACGTTTTAGAAAGCTAGAAACCTATTAAAAACATTTTTGTATTGCCTGTATGTTATTTTCTTGTACAAAATGTTTCAGGGCAGCACATAAATGATATTATTTTCGTTTCTATTCTGCTATAATATCCAATATTAATCAAGTTACAGATAACAAATGGATCAAATGGTCTTTATATAATATGCAGATGCGGTTATTTAATAGGCACCAAAAGTACTTCATTGTCAATCTTGTCATTGTTATCACAAATTAATAAGTAAGATGGTTTACTCATTATTATTATTATCAAAAGATTTATCTAGCGCTATTTAGTTAAATTAATTGCATAGATGTTATTGATTGCATAGCTGTTATAATCATAGTATCATCACGTTTTTTTATTTTTGGTCACATCATTATTGAACATTTTTAATGTTTTAAATACATAGATTTGTATCAGATAGATTTAATGAAGTTTTGAAAACATTATATTGAATTATTCTTTCAAAAGTTTATTAAAAAATTGTATTGAAATGTTAATCATTGCCAGACAATTTTGTTATTTAACAAAAATCAATAGCCAAGTATGTTTAGAATAATTTTAAATTCATTCGCCATCGAATGCAACAACAAAAAGCTCCTCAAGCTACGAAACTACAACCTAAGTGAATGCAAATTGATTTGTGGAGAGTCTGTGCTGTGTTGTCAAATTATATATTATTGATTAATCCTTTTTTAGAAATTTTGTAGCCAGGTTGGATGACACTTTCAATTGAAAATACTAGAAATATATTAAGTAATTGTTTTTTTATTCTTCACGCTTAAACCTTCTTACTATGTTATGTATTTCCCTCTGTCTATAATAATAATTATTGCCTTACATGTTGTAACAATTTTCGCGTCTGTCAGCTCCTCCTGTTTAAAGAATAATTGAAAAAAAATTTCCATTAAAATGTATGTTCTGTAACTCGCATTTTGTCAGAATAGTGGTTTCTATAAATAAAATTTGTAGGAAAAAAAAGTTTAACGTGCGAAAAAAAACTCCAGGAACATATTTGCCATCTTTGCCTCGATCATCGTCCGTAATAGCGTGTTGTTTTTAATATATGAAAACAATTGCTGCGGTCTGGGGAACTTTTTCAAATTTTCTAGGGTTTTGTGGAACTTTTTCAAATTTTCTTGGGATCTGTGGAACTTTTTCAAATTTTCTAGATTCCTCGAATGACCGACAATCAGATGTTGGGAAGGATCTTGATTCTCGTAGTAAGTGTAATAATAAATAGCGTCATGCGTTTACGTTCTAGTGTAAATTCAATGAGAATTTTTTTAAATGTTCTGATTACTATATATTTTAATACCTCTGAATGTATTAAATAATTATTATCCTGGCTTTCATTTTAAATCTTGGAATGTTTCATGTACTTCACAGTTTTTACTCGTGTAAATTTGTATTGAAATGGACAGAATTATCGATGAAAAAAATTTTGTGGAAAGTGATAAAAGAAGATAAAGAAAAAATGAAGAGGCGAACAAACAAACAGTCATACACACACACACACACACACACACAGAGAGAGAGATATATATATATATATATACACACGAGTTAAGTTCAATCACAGATACAATGTTATTAAATTTTAAATCGCAAAACATTCACACTTGCTTCAACTCCAGCCATGCGTGACTGGCCGAGAATTTACTAAGCGTACACATACACACACAAACACACATTTATACGTATGAATGTACATAAACACATACATACATGTGTTTGTGTATGCGTGTGTGTGTGTTTATATACACGTGTGTGTGTATGTGTGTGTGTGTATGTGTGCATGTATGTGTGTGCTTAAAACTTAACTGTGAACCCGATATAAAAACCACATACCTATATAAATATAAGTGTATATATTTTGTTTGAATATACAAAATATTTTATATTTATTAATTTATTAATGTGTGTGTATGTGTGCGTGTGCGTGTGCGTGTGTGTGTTTATATATACAATGACAATTGTATCTAGATCATTTTGTCGACAGATTTTTATAAAGTCAATAAAAATTTGTGTCGAACCGAACTTCTTAAGGTATTTTTATATTTTTGTTAGTAATAATAATAATAATAATTATAATAAATAATAATAATAATAATAACAAATAATATTAATAATAATAATAATTTTAAAGATTAATTTTTGGGATTTCAAGAATAAAATAAAACATGACAACGGATTGTTTTGTTGCTTTTTGGATTGTTTCAAACTGAAAAAAATTGCCGAAAATTCCGAAATGGATTCTATAAAAAGTAGAATAAAATATATCCATAATTTAATTACACTCAATTAATTTTTTTTATTTAATTTAATATAGTTTAACCAGTGTTACAAATACTCCACATGTGTGAATCCACGCACGCACACACACACACACACACACACACACACATTGCAAAAACAATATTCTATTAATTATTTGTATTTACATTACATTATAATTTTTTTTATAACTATTACTATTAATAATTCATATTTTAAAATGTCACAGCCACAGTAGTAGCGTTCCTGGCTCTGGTGACGCTGGTCCAACATACAGACACAACGATAACCACATCGGTAACTTTTTTCCATACAAAATTCAAACCCTGACAGCAGAGCCTGGTTTAAAAAAGGGCACGCCCCAAGCCCTCAACAAAAAGAGCCCCTCCCCTCAAAAATTATAACCTATCTTTAACATAATTTTTGCGTTAATAATATGTTCGGATAAGGGTAAAAGGTTAAAGGTCAATTACATTCTTCCAAAGTTCAGAGCATTCAACATCACGTCAAAAACATCGTATGGAATACATGCTAAACGACGCATCACACACGAAGCAAGTGATCTTTTTGTCGTATTCGAACTCGGTTACTGCGAAACATCACCATGCGACTTTAACCACTAGACCATCACGCATCATTCCACAGTAAAGAGATTGCTAGGAAGCTTCTCTATCAGATATTTTAAAGGTTTATACAAATTGTAAAGGGCCTGCCATAAATAATTACGTATTTTTTATAAATATTTAGGGGGGTTCTTACGTTTTCTTTACCCCAGAGTCTTTACACTTTAACTTTTAAACCTGGCCCGGTTCTGATAGATTAGTGGTAGCATGAATACAACTATAAATAAAACTGAAATAAAATTTAAATGGGAATTTTTATATAAAAATACAATAAGCAATGATGCAAAAAATAAACATACAATACGAAATGTTATAAAATGAGTCCAGGAACACTCGTTTGTTCTTCTAATTGAATTTAAAATGGTTTTAAACAGTCTTAAATCGAATCAGCTTTAATTAATCAGTAATTATCACCATCAGATCCATCCCCAACATCATTATTATCATTATCATCATCACCAACACCACCATCATCATCATTGTCATCATCATCACTACGTACATACATAGCAGAACTTGCTAGAGACCCCTTTCAACAACACGACAGTCCATATCAACTTACTCAACAATGATAATAATACAACTGCTTCTACTGCTACAAATTGTACTACTGACAATTTGAACAACGATCCTAACTATATAAATACCAACAACTTTACTTCTACTACTACTACCTATAATAACAATAATAACAACTATAGTTTCAATAATACAACGGATACTACTACTACTACTACTACTTTCTTTAATACCACTACTACCACTTCAACCACTACTACTACAACAACTACTACTACTACTACCTCCACAACTACAACTTATCTTCCGACTACTGCAACTGTCAACAACAACAACAACAACAACAATAATAATAATATATTTTCCCTGCAAAAATGCATAAACGACCAAGCCAAGAGTTGTCGGTCTAAATATACGAACGCGGATATCCCGAATTTGAAGGATTTAAAGGATTGGGATATTGGCTACCAGTGCGAGTACGTGCTTCCTTTCAAGTTTTCATTAGTCCTTTCTTTCATTGAGACGTTCGTTCATTCATTCACACGTTCATTTGTCTGTTTATTTCTTCATTCATTTGTTCTTTCATTCATTCTATCGTTCAATCGTTTTTTTAAATTTATCGTTCATTTATTCGTTCCTTTAACTGCTTATTTATTAATTAATTCATTCATTCATTCATTAGTTTATTCATCTATTTATTCATTCATTCACTCATTCATCCGTTCGTTCGTTCATACACTCGCTTCTTGCCATTATTGTGTAATTATTTATTTATTTAATAATATAAAAAGCTTGCATAGAAAAGTGGCCAGTTGTGTGGAGTGGAACAGAAGGTCTACCTGTCGAATGACTGAGAGGCTGTTGGTGACTCTTGAGAATTTCCAATCTGTTGATCAGATGTGCAGTCGCCAGTCAAGTTAGTACTCGTTGCATGGCGTTGTTGTGCTGTGATGTGTTTTACTATTACCAATGTCTCACCGGCGTCTCATTCTTAGACGGACTCATTAGACATGACACGTCTCAGGCGTGGAGTGACAGAAAAAAAGCCAAATTAATGATGCCATAAGAAGAGTGTAATTGGTATCTCACTCACCAAAAATGAGGTCTCCAGATACCTAACTAGGCAATTTTAATGGAACACAATCTGGAAATGTGTGCAATTGAACCCGGGTTCATTGAGTCATGGAGATTTAGATGAATGTAGACAGTTGATTTTTATGAAAAAATCACATTTTGGCACTTTTGGACGAAAAAATTTTCTAAGTGACACTTTCAAGACAGAGTAAGTAGCACTATTCAAAGAAAATTTTTTTTAGATAATTCAAATTTTCACCCAAAACTTGAACTTCCTACTAACGAAATAACCAGTTTGACTCACTGTTGGGCCTATCACGATGCTATGGTTCAATTTTTGCGTCTACCATTCTCTTTTGGTAGCTTTCAAAAGTAGCAACGCGATTTTGCTGTTGTTAGCTGACGCATCTGTTGTTAAAGTTTTACGATAATAGTTTAACCACATTTAACATGTAATTTGAGGTTTATCGGTATTTCAGTTGCAGTTGTTTAATTGACCTCTAACCTTTTTAACCTTTTTAAACAGCTTTTGGTTTCAATGAGTTTGTCATTTGACATTGATGATGATAATAAAAAGAATAATATATTTAACATAATAATATAATATATTTTATATTTATATTAAATTTATTTTGAGAAAAATAAAATTAACTAAAACAGCCTTCCTTCGCTACCTGAAATGTCCAAAGAGAGAGAGTATTGACAAAGACCGTTACGATGAATGCGTCAAAGATCTCGCTGTGTATGACAATGATACGAGTGAGAACAGCCTGCTAACCTTGCGCGGAGTATCTTGTCTGTGAGTGAAAATAATT